TTACATGCATCTTCTGCTGTTAATCTCTGACTATTTCCTTCCCCAGTGCTCACCACGCCAGAAAGAAAGAAGTAAAAGAGCCATAAAGAATATTAAAATCACATGCACACGTTTCCAACCATAAATCTGGGCCCGAGGTGTAATTGTTCCTGTGATAAACCCCCCCCGTGTAAGACAAGGAGACAGCAAAGAGAGAAAAAATATTTTCTAATGAGAGTTTCATGGGGAGGCAGCTCTGCTGGCCCTCCCAGCTTCACCTTGACTGTGGGTAAAGCACCAGAGTGAAAGTCAGGGCAGGGGAGGAATTAATAACCTGTATCCCCACAATAGCAGCTAATGGCTAAATAAGGATGCAGAGAAGGCAATTAGAAGGAAAGTCACACCGAGGTGAGCGTTACTGAACGGACCATCTAAAATCTGGAGCTGAAGGATGGCTTTTTGGAGAAAGCCCTGGGTTTGCCCTTTGTCTGTGCCTCTTTCCCCAGCTGCCCATGCTTTGCAGGGGCTCTCTGTGTCCCCACATCACCAGTGTGGGAGCAGAGCTGCCATCTCCCCTGCTCCAAAACAGGGTGCCAGCCCCCAGGATGCAGGATAACTCACACAGGGTGGGACCATGGGACAGTCCTTGCTCTTCCCCAAATGTTCTATGTGCAACAACACAATTTAATGTAGCCCTACTAAGAGCTCCCCAACAGCAAATGCTTTGTTTGAGACGAATCTGCAGGTCATTTTTTCCTTTTTTTGTAAAATGAGTAAAAAAACATTGCAAGTCAAGAGGTCTAAGAGCTACTGGGAAATTCTTACAGACCTCCAGGCTTGTTGCAACTTCTTATGGAGTATTAAAAGCTGTGGCTGGGAATGCCCAACAGCAACGAGTATTTTGAGTTCACTGAAACCCAACAGGTTTGCAGAGATCCTGGTTTATTAAAATTCATTTGAAAATGTCTCTTATTTCCTGTCTTTAGTTAAGCACCAGATTTTGTTTTTCACTCCACCACCATGCAAAACCACCTGCTGAGCCATTCATCCTCCCAGCCCGTGCCTGGGCTGCTGCAATCCCAACTCAGATGAAGAGTGAAAGCCCCAGCGACATCAAACAGCACCAGAACAGGCTCTTAGAGATAATAAACCTCCCAGAGCAGACTCCTTCACAGACAAACCCCACAGCATTCAAGAGCATCACTTCCACAGATCAAAGAGGAGAAGGGAAGTGGGATTGATCTGATGTATTTGTTTCAGAGCCTAAAAGAGAAGAAAAGACCAAGTAATTTGTTATGGAGTTTAGAGAGAGCTTTGCCTCTGGAGGACAAGACTTACAGCAGATGATGGTTCTTGACGTGCGAGGCAAAGCACCCCCTTGATCTTACAAAACATTTTGGCTACTTTCTGCATTGCACATGCACAGAACAGAGAGCCCTGCAAACACCAGGGAAGGCAGGAGCAATCCACAGCCACAGCACATCACGCAGGGGGATAATCAATTAATATTTCACGAGGCACCTAATGCAAAAACCCTCCCTCGCTCTCAGGTTGCCCCCATGATCCCTCCCACGCCGCATCCTCATCATCCACTCCTGCACAGTAAATCTCTCTGTGGGGAGAAGGAGCAGCTCCACACGCTGCCTTGGCTGCTCTCTCCTCTGAATTATTTAACGGGAAGAGCCAGGTAGGCTGCAATTCTAACAGCAATAAGCAGGAAGGTTTATTTATTTATGAGCATATTTCAGCAACTGGGTGTCTTGTCCTAGCAACTGAAGCCAATTGTTCACCTCTGCAGTGCCCTCACAGAGAATAGAGGGTCAGGGATGGGTCAGCTTTAGCCTGATAATTTTATACTGCAGCATCTTGGCCTCAAATCCACGTGTGAAAGAGCAAAAAGGACCCAGCATGGTTTATTTTCTATTTTTCCAGTATCCATTCTGATTTCTTGGGGTCAAACACCAGCCCTGGGAACAGGAAGCCCGGTGACAAGAAGGGAGGGTGGAAATGTCCCACCCAGTGCTCTCCATCCCAAGGAGCTGTTCCCACTGCTCTCGGTGGAGATGGTCTGTCAGGCAGATCCGCAACGAAGTTCTCATGCCTTGTGCAAACACCCTCAACAGACTAAAGGAGGTGGTTCATCCCCCTTTCTGGAGCGGGATTCCAGCCTCTCAGCACGATAACCTCCCCCTCTTTTCCTAAGATCACACTTGAGTGTTTTAAAAAGCAGGTGGAGTAAGTGACACCCGGGAAACCTGAGCTGCTCCCATCTGCTGCCCCTTCTGTGAGGGGTTTCTTCATAAACAGGAAGGATCAGAGCCTCAAGCTGGTGCAAAGGAGCTTCTGCAGCTCTGCTGGGATGGAAGGGGCTGTGCCAAGTCCTCCTGGCCCAGAAGCTGGCAGAAAAGCGTTTCCATAATGAGGAATACACAGACTGTAATTACACCTTGCAGTACCTCACAGATCCCATGGCTGGAGGTACAGACCTTCTGACAGCCCTGCTTTGAAGACAGCATTGTGGCAATGCACAGAAAACCCACGGGACTCTGATTTCACCAAGATTTTTGGGCTTCAGGCTGTGCTTTCCATGTGAGTTCAGGTGTGGGGTTTGTAGCCCCACAGCTCCCATGCTTCCAGAAAAGCCTGTCTGTCCCACTGCTGAGGTTTCATGCTGCTTCAAACCCCGTATCTCAGACCTTGGCTGTTCACAGCACATCACTTTGACAGCTCCAACCTTCCCTTTTTCTTTTTTCATCTTCTTTTCCTCCAGGATGGCTCACCCTGCGAACATGGGATCACCCCATCCCAGTGACCACGGATTCCCTGTCAGTCATCAGTTCTGGAACCTCAGTGCCTAGTGGATCCCCTGGGCACACCATCACACCTTCATGAGCTCTCCTGGAGCTGCCCAAAGAAATCCATGTAGTTTTCCCAAGACATTTGCCCACAACTGAAAATTCCTTCCTTGTCGGCTTCGGTGGGATTAGGCAGATTAAAGAAGCATTTAATTTACTGATGTACCAAGAGATGGACATGAGCTGACCAGGGACAAGCAAAGAGGTGACCTGGAGCTGCTCCTCCAGCTCTGCTCAAGACCCAGGCAGCACC